GCAGTTCTCCCAATTTTTTACTGTTCTTATTGGAGCGAGGTTTGCCGAGAGGGAGGGAGGGAAGGATTAACAGCTCTTCTGGAAACACACAGATTTGGTGATATTCAGGGCTGGTTTATATTCATCTCTCCCACTTTAACTTCCATGCACATCCTGTATTACCTGTTGCTGTTTTCTAAGTCTAATCCTAAAGTAACAATTTTTCCAGACTACTACCGGTCAGTATTCTAGAACTGGAGCAGAATTTTATTTGGTGGCTTAATTACAGGTAAGTAACTTGCAGTAGGGAACGTGATCTGCCTGCTTGACTATTTAAGTGGCTATAGGGTTCAGTGTAACACCTATGTGCTATCCAGTCCCCTGGAAGAAGAAAAAAAATGAACATACAAACAATGCAGAATAGCAACGCAGTATCTTAACACTTAAACAGCTCCTAGTTAATATCCTGATCTCTACAGTGATGGGTATGGTGGTGTAACAGACGCAGTACGATCCCTACTTCAAAGAAACCTAAGATAATGCAGGGCAGCCACCCTTTTATTAAGCGCAGAAAGCTTTGTCAAAGTCTTTCACCAAAACTCATACTCTCAAAACAGAAACTATGAATTCAGTTAAGGAACTTCTGTGATGCTTCGTCCTACCTGGCAGTGAGAGGGAGGGGTCTTCCATGGGTACTGCACCCCTCTTGTGTAATCACGCACTGTTGAACACAACCTACTCCTACACACACAGAATGCTATTTCCTTTCCATTTTCCTTAAAAAGGGAAACAACTTCTCTCTTCCATCCCTGTTTTTCTTTCATTTTGAGCTGCAGATATATAGCCAGTTCTCATTTTTTTGGGATGTTTATAGTCCATTTGTTTTTGTTCTCCTGTGTGCACTGATGTGCTTATGTATAGTACTTCATTTCCTGTACTGTACAGCAGAGATAAACCAGAAGGGATAAATTAAGGATCAGGAAAGACCTAAGCATAAGCTATGAGAGGAGACTTCTCCCAGATGACTTGATTATAAGATGATCACTGGTAACAAACAAGGTTTCCCAGATGGCTCAAAGGACACCATTTACAGCCATACACAGGCCAGAACAGGTTTCTCATAAGAATTTCATTTTCTTTTGCCAAAAAGTTACTTGAAATATGGACCTATGTAGTAGCTTACGTAGTTGAAAGCCTACAAACCAAAAGGAGAAGAAAAAAAAAAGAAGAAAAAAAAAGAGTTGTTTGGTATTACCTTTTGTTCCATCTTGTGTTTCATTTTCGTTTTCACTTGTTCTCATAGTTGAAGGTTCACTTCCATCACAGACCTAAGAAAAACAATAAATATGCATGCCTATAAAAATCAAATGCACGGTTGTAGAAACTACTTTGACTCTGTGCAGGATTACAACACATACTCCTGCAATTCAAGGGTACGCAGAAGCACACTTGTGTTTCAGTAGAAAACCCTTGGCCAAAGTCTAAGGGGATCTGAAATCTAAATAATTAAAAAGAAGTAATTAAGCCCATTCCCCCCCTTCCTAAAAGGCTAAGTGGGTATAAGACTTAATTTTCCAGAGTTGCAAAGAGTAAGAAAATGTAGTCTTTGACCTGAAGCCACAGTTTGCACTGGAAAGGATATGGAAAGGGAATCTGAAGGAGACATTTTCACTGACAGCCCAAATTCCTTTCTGTTACAAAATCATACATGGTTGCCTCCCTTACAGAGCAACCCATCCCTTTTGCAGGGTGGCCTGATGTTAGTAGCTGTGCTTACAGCTTAGATTCCCAACAGCAAAACTAGGACACTTCAAAGAGACAACAAATCAGGAAAGGATTTGAACCATCTTCTCCTTTCTACAGTGCTGTACTACCCAGTTTCACGATTTGTCACATTCTATGAACTGGATGACACCTAATACAGAAAAAAATATTTCAAAACATGTAGAAAATCTATACTGATACATATATGGGTATACATATACCCATACATGTTTTCACCCACATATTATTGTTATTATCCTTTTGGCAACTCAAATCAACAATGAATGTTTAGTACTCTGGATTTTTAATTTTATTTTACTCAAGCACTGTATAACTTCACACTCACTGAGAAAAAAAAATTCAAGTTTTAAAGATTTCTCCTACCAACACAAATCTGTATATTTACTTTTTTTAAAATCAGGGATCTTGAGAGGTGGAAGAAGATACCATGCCTGCCCAGAAAATTTTTACTGTTTCACAGAGCCGTAGAAGCAGACTGGGAAGCTGTCACAGTACCAAAACTCTAGCTTCTCTTTGGGAATACAGCAGGAAATTTAGTAGAAACATCAACACAATTGTTGCGCTGATGCGAAACATCTACACTATTGTTTTACCTTTCCTCCTGCTTTCCTCCAGGTGAAGCGAGGTTACAGGATTTTTTGAGGCTATTATTAAACTGGAATGACTTCATACAGTTGCAGATGGCTTCAGTCCTCTCTTGTTACACAAAAAGCTTTCTAATGATGGGAGAGTAACAAAGCACTGAGGCAAGTTACCTGGGGATGTTGTAGAAGCTACTTCATTACAGGCTTTCTGTGACAGATCAGATGAATAACCACAAGCAATGATTTCTGAATAATCATCTTGCTTTGGAGAAAGGCATGCAGTATAGGTTTGAGGGCCTACATTTGTATTATTTCATTTCAGTCAAGGAGACAAGTTTAGAAGGATTCTTTTTTTTTTTTTGGGGGGGGGGGCGGTATTTCTATATTACTAAATATTCTAACCTTCTGTATTATACATCTTAAATGGCTACAATCATTTGTCTATTTATATTATTTCTCACTGAGGTCATCAATATCAAAACATGTAGTTTAAGAGACACAGAAGTCTCCTGAGCACTGTGACATATGGTTTTCAAACATCACAGTGTGTAGCTTAAATACAGGAACATGAGTATTTCTTGTGCTTTACTGAAATACCATACTTGAAAGGGAAATTATACTGCTTTAAGCTATATGATATTTACCTAAATTGCTCTGCTATTAGATCTTGTAATTTTTAGATGTAGTCAACTCCAAATCAGATCCCGGAAAGCTTTTATGGAGTTAATATCCATTCTGCAACCACATGCAAAGCAGAACAGTGCAAGGGAAGTTCTGCCTCCAGAACATACATTTGAGCTTACCAACTCCCCCCACTACATTTCACCTCTACTGATTTTGAAACGAGTTGCCGAAGGACAGGAAGCTGCTGGGGGAAGGAGGAAGTTAAACCCCTCAAAATTTGCCATGCTTTCCGCCACTGCTACCATGGTGCAGAACGGCAGCGGCAGCAGCAAGAACGAGGGACAGGGCTGAGGTCAGGTAAGCTAGCCATGCACTTCCATCAGGTCAGAGTCTTCTTATGGCTGAAGGTCTTGTTGCTTTTAGGGGAGTCGGCAGGACACACGCTTCTCCACAGAAGAGGAATTCTAATCATAGTCTTCATTTGCCCCCTTCCCCTTTCCTGCATAGGGAAGAGGAACTCTCCCGTTCAGTATCCCATGAGAGGAAACTGCGACCCTTCAGAACCTGTCAGAGCAACTTCCCACACACAGACCCTGGGAGTTAGTATGGGGTCTAAGCCCCCAGCTGACAGGCATAAAGACCTAGTCAAAATAGAGGAGGTTAGGTTGATGTCCCCCCCCCCTTTTTTTTTGTCTTCTTTTAAAAAACAAAACAAAACAAAGAAACAAGAGCACCAGTAAGTAAGCAGTACTGCCCCCTCTCTGGCAGACCCCTCGGGATGGCTGTAGGGCACTACCACCCAAAGATAAATGTGGGCTTTGGGTAGCTCTTTGGGTGATTGTTGTCCTGAGTTTTGCATCTGCATTAAAATTAACTCAGATTAATATCTTGACCATGGAGTCGTCATTTTATCCAGCACCTTTAAGTAATACGAGGCCAACATACATACTTTCTACATAGAATCATAATGGTTGGAAGAGACCTCAAAGACCATCAAGTCCAACCATATACCTGATGCCATACTAAAATTGCTTAATGCAGTGTCAAGTCTGGATCAATGTTATTCCCATAAATTCAGTAAAAAACACCCTTGGAAATCAGTGAAAAGTTAGACTTAAATTTTCTGAAAAGATCCCTTTCGTGCCTGTGCGTCCCTCTCTTCTTCCCCCACCCCTACATGTCCCTCTCTTCTCTCTGCCAGAATCAGACAAAATGACAGACAGGAACTTACTTTTCCCTTTGAGTCATTTTGTAGCCTGAAGATATCTCTGACATCAGGAATCTGGTGCTGTTTGTTTTTTTTCCTCATGGTTTGTGTGACAGTCTCTACTCGCTTTTCTACTGCTGCCTTCTGGGTTCTGGTCAGCGTGGACAGAAACACCACGCTTTCCAGGGAGTCGCCGGAGCTCTCGCCAAACAGATTTGACAGACCTGCCTCCTTCAGCCATTCTTCTTCCAGTTCTCCCTCTGAACAAAGCAAAGAGAAAAAGGGATAAACGTTTGCTTTCAAGTACTGTTAAGCACACTGGATGTTAATGATGTGATACAGTCAATGCCGTTCACAGGGAAAGTACTAAGGGAATCCACAATTAAGAACAATTACTTACACTATCAAGACTTGGAAAAAAGCCATTGTTTCTAAAGAGCTTCAAGAGGGTTAACATACGATATCAAAGCTTTTAAAATAGTTAATCCAATACAGATTGCTATAGGGCAATCTTTCTAATAATCTACAGAACTTCTATTAAATCACACACCATTTTATAAATGTACCTAGACATAAATGTGTATGGGGAAGCCTGAAAGCCTCTGATCATTGCTGCTTCATTGATTTTTAGTTCAAGCCTCAATCTTTTTAGTTCCCTTACTGACATGGTTCTGCCCACTTTTCTTGATCCATTAATCCTACAGCCCTCCACTAGCTCAATTTAATGAAGGACAAACCAGGCTACAGGAGTCACCTTAATGGTATTTTTTAATCAGTTCTTATGACATGGTCTCCAGCCTGCTGGCAGCCCACAAAACAATTGTTGCTTTAGTCTTATAGCTGATAAGGTACGCTTTACTGACAGATGACTGCGCATGAAAGAGGAGAAAGCTATTAAATATTGTCACCCATGGCAATACTTCTGCTTCTGAAATCAGTATCTCTCTAACGATACTTTCTTTAAAACACTACGTTCTGTCTGTAGCAGCTGAGCTTGTGATGAATGCCAACCACCCTCTCAAACACTGAAGCAATATTTCCATTTATCAGATATCTGAAAGTACTCCAAAGCCGGCATGACAACTTCGCTATTAACTGCAGTTTCCCACAGTGCTCACTGCACATCCAAATGGGCACGTGAATATTAATAGTGTTCTGAAAATAGACACAAAATTTTAAGTATGAATCTTGCTATGTGTGGCCAAATCCTGACAAAACTCTCCCAGATTTTGTTACTAGGGCTGGAAGGAAGGGCTACACCCATTCTCCAGAGCAGATGTGAGGAAGGTATATCTCATCTCTTCCCTGCCTTGCCTTTGCATGGCCACGTCTCAAGCAAGCCCCCGTCCAGGCAGGCCCATCAGCCAGACGCAGTCCTCAACACATTCAGGAGTACTTGTACCCAAACGAGGTGCTGCTGCACATTAGGCAAGGTGTGGGGCAGAGCAACATCTGCTCAAGCTGATCAACTCAACTGTGCTGACTCACTTGGGCTTCACGCCAGAGTCAGCAGCTTGAGCTGGAGCGGTAACTAGCAGGAAGAAGGCTATATATAAATAAAAAAGGAAATAGTGGGTTTGGAGTGCAGAGCCTGAAGGCATAGCAGCATCAGTGAGCTGGGGTAAGAGAAGACGCTCATGTGCTGCAGAACAGTGGGCTCTGCTGCTCTGGAGAAAGCCTCGCAGCTCCATTAGATGCCCTGCTCCCTGGGCACACAGGCTCAGGGCTTTGCTGCTTTCTCCAGAGGCTACGTTGCTAGCCTCTTCAGAGCACTTGTAAATAGCAGTGATGTTTCAAAACATCTAGGGAGGCAGAAGTGCAAATCCCTTTGAAAGCTAACAGAGCACATTCTTCTCACTCATGTAAAGGCCGTATAAAATGCAAAATTCACCATTTTAATTTATTGAGACTGTGGGCCTCTTGTAAGAATGGGAGAGAGACAGATACTGCACTGTTAAAAAATAATTTTTGAGAGAAGAGTGGAGTTAAGGACGTTATTCCTCTTTTCTCTGATAGGACAAGAAAAATAAAGAAATTGCCCAACTTCTTCTAAGATCATGCCCTCAGGAGTGGCCCATAATTGATGCTTCTGAGAAACAAAAATAATACAACTGAACAGTCACAATAGTTACAAGCTTAGAAAGTTACTCACTAAACTTAAACTGGTTAATCATTGGCTTGTCTTCTAAAGCATGAGGTTTCTATCCACAATAGTTACAATAACAAACAACATACACAAAGAGTGAAAGGGTAAGTTAGTTTAACAGTAAACTGCAAATAAATCTTCAATTGTTGTGATTTGCAAGTAGAGGCACCTTTCTGGTGTTCTGCAAATACCATTTAAAGGAAAACCAGCCTTTTACTTATCTCCGATAAACTCTCTTTCAGGGTACTGCCTGTTTCTGGTGATACGCATCAGAGGCAAAAGAATTTTCAAAGTGGATGTTCAGCAGAGTGACTTCCTTTTTGATTCAAGTGTGTTTGGTGCGTGCCATCCCCTGAAATAAGACTTAAAGAAAAATCCCTAAATCAGCAAATGGATGATCATTCACAAGAATGGATTTCATTACCATCCGGCTCTTTCACTACAAGCGCTACTCGTTCCTCATGATTATTTCCTCTGGTTTCATGGATGTTTTCAAGTTCTTTCCAGTAGTCATCCATACACAGCTCATCCAAGGAGTCCTGGGATCCTGAGCGGTCAAACGATGCTCCATCAGGGGTCTTCTTGGAATGGTCATGGTTCATTGTATACTGGCCAGACCGACGGCTATAAACATAAACCAAAAAGCAATTCTTGGTTAGAATGTTAAGATACAGGTCATATTAGTACCTGTGAAGGCAGTTAGTGATGAATTGTGTCAAAGTATCAAAGCAAACTACTGTCAACAAGCAAACCAAGATATTAAAAATTACTTTTAATATCTGGAATATATTTTTAATTTGACATTTCTCCCAGTCTGGAATGGCACAGGAGCCTGTCTCTTTGAGGAAATAATGAATTCAAGTTCTAGTAATCATACTTACACCAAACCTTTAATTCAACTCACAACAGTCAGTTCCACAAACTTCATGGTATGTATCTTCCTAGCATCACCACTGATTAAGAATTTTTCAAAAGTGCCTTTCTGCCTGAGTAAATTCTTACAGCTTGACAGTACTCTTACTTTTTTCCGTTTGCTGTTCTGCTTTTCTTTTTTATTAATGTTTAGTCTGGTATCTATGACCTTAATTACAGCTGGGAAAGGACAAAGTAGAATTATTGAAGGTACAGTTTGTGAAGTAAACTGGTAAGTCCAAATGTTTAATAAAGGCCACTATTTGTTTCTATCTTGCCTCCTCTTTGACTGAAAGCGTACCATTTTTACAGTTTGATACTACTAGTTTTTGGTTCACCCTGCCAAAGGTATGTTGCTAAAGCTTTCAAAAGGGATCTTTCATCTTAAGTATAGCTGCGACTAGAAAAAAGAAACCAAGAAGCTGAAACTTCTAGGTCTCGTCTTGACCTTATTAAGTCATTGGCAAAAATTACCACTGACCTAGCACAGAATTCCTCTTAAAAAGCGCAAAGGTTATAATGATGTCATTGAAGTTACAGGTCATCCTTACAGTCGAATATACCAACTCAAACGCCACAAACTGATTCAGAGTATCAGTGGATTGCATAAGCAGCAACCCGATCTAACTTCAGTTGGCCCTACTTTGAGTTGGGGGCAGATCAGACAAGATGATCTCCAGTGGTCCTTTCTAAACCAAGTTATTCTACTATTATGACAGTATATCAAAATTCTTCCTTGCATTAAAAACCAGTAAGTTCTTAACATTTCATGAACAGTTTCAGATGCCTTTTACGTCTGAATTTGTCTCCATATTCTAAAAAAGAAGGCATGATTTGGCGTTAAGTAATAAATATCACTTATTCTGAGAGAAAAACATATCAAAGATCAAGTATTGTGGATTTATCACAATGTAAACACAGTAAATTAAGTCCTACCTTCCCATTTGGCTGACTTTGCAAGTTTATCTAGAATTAAAACAAAAGCACCTCGTCCTTACATTTTATCTTGGGACAAGTGACGCTTGTTAGCTGCCCCTAAGCAAAAAAGCCATACCTTTCTCTCTGAAGATAAGCCCCTTGTGTGTTGAAGTCACAAATCCTTTCACACCATATGTGCTTGATTCTCTGATAAGAAATACTAACTGTATGGACTTTGCCTTTAAAGAGCCTTATGGAAGGACTATGAGTTTCCACCCGCCCTGCCTCTCTGTTCCGGGTACAAGTTAATAAATGACAATGAATTACCAAGCTAATATGCACCCCAACACCATTCCTTAACCTTCCCTTATTTGAAAGCCCAGGAAAAAAAAAAATATAAATGAGTATTTAGCTTCTCCATCAACAGCAATAACAACATCTTGCTAGTAATATGTGTTACCCAATAAATACTATTTCTCCACGTAGCTACCTCAGTTCTTAACCTCTTCTGACAGGTGTTTCCCGTGTGTCACCTGTGCTGCTTGTGAATCCAACACTAATTACTGCAGAAAGACATTCATGGAGCCGCATCAGAAGCATCCCCCGCAGCCAACGTAGGTGCCCAGCGTGGCCGAAGCAGGTCGGGCTTCCCAGCCCTTGCTTCCCTCCTCCTGCAGCTGAAGGTGCTGGGAGCAGACTGGGTCCTCCCACAAAGGGACTCTGTACACTTGAACTGCAGCCTGACTGAGCTCCGATTTCAGCTTATCATCCTTCGGTTTTAACCCTGCGGAGCTGCTCGGCAGCTCTTTGGTGGCCTTTCACCTTCAGAACAACCTGCTCGTGCTGACCCACCTCCACTGAAATTTAACCACCACAGCACACCATGCAAAAGACAAAACTAACAGATCGAATACGTTAAAAGCACTTTGAGGGGCTCTGGCAGGCTGCGGTGGGATATGCTGCAGCAGGCCGTGGCTCTGTGCCACACATCCAGGGCAGTGCTCCTCCTGTCCTTCCAAAAAAGCCGGCTCATTACCTTCCCCAGAGTAAGTCCTGTCTCAGAGAAGTCTGTGTCCCAAAATGCACAGCTGATACTCAGCACAGAGCACTCAAGGCCATTTTCAGGGTCCTGTGAGCATTTGCTGTACATTAAAAACACTCCATTAGCTCTCAGAGACTGCGCCCTACCCTTCAATCACCGGTCACAGGCCTGCTCTACTCGACCAAACATGAGCTGCTTTTCTTGTAAGGCTCTTCCCAGCTCGACCTTTCCATCTCTCATTAACGAGCCAACACAGCAACTCCCAACTTTGAGCGGGCAGTAATGCCACTTCTTGTCGTGAAAGCCCTCAGAGAGAGAAGGACACAAATGACTGGGGGAATCTTCCAAGAAATATTCACACAAAAACCTCACCGCTCTGCCGTGAATCTCTCCTTCAAAATCCAAGTTGCTTTAGGTCCATCCGCAGCTGGCAGCCCCAGCACCGGCACCACTTGGGCTCCTCAGGAGCCAAGGCTACAGGCGGCTGCCACACCGCTCCCGCTCCGCTCACCGATTCCTCGTCTCCCCGCATCAGATTTGATCAATTCTCTATCCTCAGTTTCGGTTTGGACTGCAAATCCTTTCAAAGCCACCTGCATTTGTCCACATCCACAATTCATGCTTCTATGGGCTTGGACAGAGAGAGGCTCAGACTGAGAGTGAACAACTGCTAAAACTTCAGCTGACAGAGCAGGTCAAATCTTATTTTCACTTCATTTGGTTCAATATTTCTTGCTTTGCATACCCCACCAGAGAAAGATGCTGGTGATGCAGTATTTGGTACATAACCTGCACAGCAGCGGCTCCAGGCATCCTCATCTCTGTCCCTCCTACGAACCCCTGTGCATAAAGAGGCACAAACAAAAAAGACCCTTTGAGGATAATGAGGACAGTCTTCATACCATAGGGTTGGTGTAGATGAGAAAAGAAAAATAATTTTTTAAAAAGGGAAAAATAGGTTGCCAATTAAGATTTTTATTTTTAGATAGCTGTTGACAAGACCAAGAATACAGGATTTCTGCTGTGACCTTCCACTAAATTCAATCCTTCTCCAAACATATGCTTAGTAAGCACTAGTTGCATATCACACAATAAAAACGCATAGGTGGGAACAAGTTAAGGCCAAGAAAAAAGAAAGGAGACAGGGAATAGTAATAAAACTTAGTAATGATATTATAAGGAATCTGGAAGAGAGATATGTTTTTAAAAATAATTAATCCCACATTCACAAAAAGACTCATTAAAAAAAAAATCTTAAAGTATTTCAAATACCCCATGTTGCAAGCTTTAAAATTTTGTAGAAGATCGCTTTTCAAAAACCTATCAGTAGCAAATAAGCACAGTTCATTACAAAAAAAGCTATTACTGTGGTTGCAGAAAACAGGTTACTTCTCCGGCACATTCTTAAGTTTTCAGGTGTTCAGTTTTTCTGCTTAAAATTTGAAAAATGCAGTTGCTCTTCAAAAGTATCTTCAAGGAGATCTCTTTTCTCCTCCAGAAAATGTAAGCTACTGCTAACAAAAACAATCACTTAAAGTAATTTTCAAACACTACTCATTTAGCATTCCAGATTACTAAATGGCAAGTTTACTCTCCAGTAGGTCCCGTCCCCCCCCCCCCCCCTTATTTCCATTAAGGTTTTCACTAACAACACTCTCAAATTCTTTTAAAACCTTATTAACATCTATTTCCAATCATTAGTAAATAGTTTACTCTTCAAGTAGCTTTACAGGGCACAGTGCAATACTCGTTTCCAAATTACAGTCAGTTCCGACCTCTGACATTCACACACGTGCCCTTTGTAGTCGATGAGATTTTTGCCTATTTATCTCAGTACAAAGCTGACCCTCCAGGTATAAACCCCGTTCTTCAACACAGCTATTGCAGTCTCTAACCAGAGTTAATCTTGTCCCACCCGCCAGAGATGCACTTATTTATTAGAAACATCAAGGATGTGAGACGAAGCACTCCAGCTCTTCCAGAGGGGAGCCATTAAAACCAAATCTTGCAATGAACATCATTCATCGCATTTACAAGGAAAGAAACCAGATTTGGGTTATTTCACTAAGCACTGATGAGCTTCACATTGTGGCAAGCACTTAAGGGAGAAGAACTCTGTGCAAATATTTCCTTCAGCCTTTCCTTTTGTAACCAACTGCCTCTTTTCTCAGCCTGTAAGAAAATATGACTCTACACATTAATCACTGTTTTACACCATAGTAAAAATGTGCTTTTTTTCAGGTTCTATCAGCCTGATTTTGATTTCAAGAGTCATTTTATACTAGTGCAGTTGTCTCTATTCCTTACTTTCTTTCCTGTGAAATCTAAATCTCCCTGTCTATTCCAGAGCCTTTTTAGCAGTTCTTAACTGATACTTGTCATGTGTAAACTAGAGCAGCTAGAGATTAATCAGTTAGTAAGGTGCACATTCACTGACATTTCAGATAAATTCAGTTCAGAGTTAATTTTGCCCTTACTTCCATTTTTTTCTATTCAAGAATTAAGGACTACGTTGTGTTTTAAAACAGGGAGTGATGAGAAAAAGATAATCTTTGTAATTTCTACAGTGCTAGCCACTACTTTTGGATCTGAATATGATCTTTCTACATCACTATACAAACGTCATAATTGTATGGTATCCTTATATACTATATATGTGGGTATGCATGCATTAGATGTGTAAATACACTGAAAGGCAAAAATACTAAATGCAAGGATGTCCATGGTCATAAAAACTAGGGAATATAAACAC